GGGCTCAGGCCTACAAAGACATTTGCCCACTGATACCTTGGAAAAAAATGGCCTTTCTGTGGTCTGTGATGTTTGAGACTCAGGAAGAAAACTCCAACTGCTATGGTTTGGATAAGTGTCCCCCAAAGGCCCCTGTGGCTTGGTTCCCAGCCCATGGCATTATGGGAGGTGGTGCAAGCTTTAAGACGTAGAGCCTACTCATGCCCCTGAAGGGTTTATTGGGACTCCGGCCCCTTCCGGTTCCTTTCTTTTGTTTCCAGCCATGTGGTGAATGGGCGTCCTTCCATGATGTGCTGCCTCACCACAGGCCCCAAAGCAATGGGGCCAATTGACTGTCGAAGGGAACCTTCAAAACTGTGATCTTAAGTCAACCTTTCCTAGTTTAAGTTGATTATATTGGGTATTTTGTCACAGCAATGGAAAGCTGACTAACAGAGCAAGTTAGGGTCCATTCCTTTGACTTCCCTTCTTCATAAAGTGATGTTTCCTCTGACAGGTGTCTCAGTACTGAAGATGCATGATAAATGGCCTTTTAAAAGTATACTCAGGTCCCCACCAAAAAGTATTTTGGCAAAGAATTAGCAGTGAAATGAGCCAGGTATGGGGGTTCATAGCTATAATCCCAGCACTTGGGAAGCTGAGGCAGGAGGAGCATGAGTTCCAGGCCAGACGAGGCTACATGGAGATCCTCTTTCAAAACAAAATAAAACACCAAAACAAACAAAAATCCCAAAGCAGTGAAATGAACAGAGTGACTGCCACACAAGCTGAATGTGCACACTCATCAAATTCTTGAGTGGTAAGGATGCAGTGCAGAGCAATCAGGTGGTCTTAGTGCAAACAGCCACATTCCAGTCCTAGCTCCAACACCCATTCTCACACACGATCTTATGCAACACCCTTCCCCATGCTGAGTCTGTTTTCTCACCTGTAAAACAAAAAAGCTAAACTTTGGCTAACTCGGTCTCAGAAATGAAATTTTCTCTTCTACCCACATGGAAATAATAACGTCCACCTCACTGAGACACACGTGCCATGCCTGTGGAGCTCTGTGACCCTAGGAACCCTTCTGCTGTTGATCATCAGTGACTGCATCTTCAAGCCATGGGTCATCACCACTGATGTCTGAACCTGAAAACAGGCCCCAAGTACTAGGACCTAGGTAGATGGCCATTCAGCAACCTTCCAGGATTCTTCTCATTTTTGTTTGACACCAAGATCCCTCATTTTATAGAATCCATTGTGTGTATAATTTAGGGTGAATCTGCCCATATTTCTGCAGTGTTTCAGCATAGTGCGCATTCTCAGGAGGTATGGAGAAGTCTATCTTCAGCCACAAAAGGGGTAACTGTGGACAAACACACTCCCATCAACCTCCTCTGGTACTCACCTTTCTCTACATATTATCAAGAGACCATGTATTATGGTCAGGCATTCCAAGGAGAGCTAAAGATAGGGGCGACATGCACAGCTTGCTTTGCCCTCCGTGTTTTGGTTCAGTGTGGGTAGAGGGAAAGATAGATGAGGGGAGCTCCCAGTGGCTTCACCCACTTCTCCTCCAATGGCACCAATCCTGCTCCACCCAAGCTTGCATGTCCCATCCTGCAAAAATCACAGCTGTATGGTTAGCCATGTCTACCATTCTTAGAAGGCAGTCTAGTGCTTATTTGCTGTCATTATCTGCAGTTCTTTGAAGAGGTTTCACTCCAATCCAATAGTTTAGCAAAGAATTCCTTCCAATACCACATGGTATTCTCCATGGAAAGCATTGTACAAAAGAGTTCATGCATTCACAATCATTACACCTTGTTTTATCGGGCCTCTCATGTGTCAAGTAGAGATAATAATCAAATAACTGTACCAAAGGGTTGATAAGGACTGAATGAGACAACTGATGGTTTGGGCCGAGCATATAGGAGGAATTATTTTCTCTAATGGTATCTGGGTAACCTCCATGTACTGACTAACTGAGCAGTTTCCCATGGAGAATTTCACAAAGTCCCATTCCTGTGAAACTCACCTCCCAATCTCACCAGGTCATGCATTACCTGACTTCCAGCTTTACCTACATCAGCCATAGACAGAGAACACAGAGCCCCAGGGCTTGTCAATCCAAGCCTTTTTTTTTTTTTTTTTACATTGCTCTGGGCTGTAAGTAACAGAAGCCCAACTCAACTCAATTTAAACAATAAGGAGACTTTATTGGCTCATGTATCAAAAAAGTCCAGAGGTAGGGGCACTGTCAGGCAAGGCTTGACCCTGTATTCAACTGTCATCGAGGACTTGCTTTCTGCCTGTCCACTTTCCCTTCTGTGGTGTTGGCTTCATGTTGAGAGTGATTCTGTCATGGTCTGAAGGTGGCCATATGGAGACCTAGGATTACCTGCCTCCTCTTTCAATCCAGTTGGGGAGTTATAGAGGTGCTACTCAGCATCCTCAGGAAGTCTAGAAATTCCTTCTGGCTGTGAAGACCTAAATTAGTTCACTTGGTCTTTCCTGGACCAGACTGAAGCCAGAGAGGTGGAATGTGTTGTTGGCTTAGTCCAGGCCAAGAATTCTACCTCCAAAAGTGGTGAGAGCCAGCAATGCCAGGTCATCTGAACCCCCAGCAGAAACAAGGGGCCCTGGGAAAGGAAATGAGGGAACAGACACTGGGGATGCACACACCACTACCAATTTATCACTCATTGTATGGATGAGACAGACCAGAGAGGAGAAAAACCTTGTCCAAGATGACAGCACAGCTGGGGCCACACCCAGCCCAGCCAGCTGCAGACTCATTCACACCACACTTCACTCCTACCTTGTTTGGGCTGATGGACTCAATATAGAGCCATGATCAATGTGAAGTCAGACTAATTGATTTCCCCCTAACCCTCCATAGAGTGCTTTGGAAGCACTGAATTTCAAACACCTCCACCAAGTTTCCCAGGTTAGGAAACCAACCTGGGCTTCAAAGATTCCTGCAGCTGCAAGGATCTTAGTACTCTTCCCCACTTTGAGTCCACTAAGAACTGAGGAGCTCCTGCTACTTTTAAGAGGAAAAAGTGCATTCGGATGTGCAAACATTATTGCATATTCATGCACTCAAAATCTAATTTTAGCTGCAAGAGGCTCATTAAAAGATGCTCACATAATTAAGCATCTCTCTTCCCAGGGTTTGGGAGCCTGTCTATTCTTTTCTCCCATTTACACATCACTAGGATTATCAGAATGTGTTTAGTTTTTTAAAATTATATATTTTGGTTTTTCCAAATTGACCCACAACAGGAGATAAAATCCATGAAAATTGCATGTTTTAACAGAGGTTTGGATAACTCCGTAGCCTTGCTATTAAAGTTAGAATCTGTAGACAACTAGGGTTTTGCTGTTCTATTCTAGTCAACTCCTGATGCTTTGATTACAGGTCTGCCCCACAGACAGATCAGCCTTTACACTTTGGCTGGTTGGGACAGTATCCTCTTTACTGAGAAACTGAGAGCCTCAGATGAGACCTAAGTAGAAGAGAGCCAAATAGATTTTCCCCAAAGGACAGGCGAGGCCAACAGCTGCCACAGGGCCTTTGCACTTCTTTGTCTGTCCAACACAGGAACCACAAGGCCATGTGGGCTGACAGGAGATGTGGCCCTTGGGCATCTGGCAACAATGAGTGTATTGAGTCAACTTAGGGGAACCCTCGGGCTGTTGCTCTCCCAAGACTCCTGGGGTTTGGAGGAAGTCCAGGGGGTCATGCCCTGCTACAGGACTGGTCAATTCTTCCTCCACACCTTTGTCCTCTCCAGTCTCCATTGCTTTAGTCTTCTCCCCTGGGGTCATCTGGAAGTCCTGGGAATTGTGATGACCTGTTCTCCCCGTTTCCTCATCCCAAAGCAGCCTGGCTCAGTCTGAGGGGCAGTCTCCCAGATGGCCATCCCAGGGAAGCCCTCCGAGCCTAGCTAGGGTTATCCCAGTCTGAAGAAGCCACAGAGAGGCCCAATCGCTACTTCCCCTTGCCAGGGCTGGTGTGCAACCCGATCTCCACTCCCTGGCCCCTGCCAACACACACACCTTCACACCTTGGCCACTGTGAGCCCTGCTCCCAGACTGTACCACCATCCTGTACACTTGAGTTTCCTGGTCTCCAAGCCCAAGACATGCAGCACAGAGCAGTCCAAGAAAGGTTGCAGCAGCTCTTCTGGTCTTAGTGCTGAGCACTAAGTGGCACACAGAAAGAATGGATTCCAGATCTGTGCCCCACCTGTCCTCACTCACTCCCACCCCTCCTCCCACTTCACAGACACAGAGACACCCACCCTACACTCAACTATCTACCTACTTTGCAAGCACACCAGCCTCTGAGCCTTTGCACATGCTGTTTTCTGCCTGGACTCTCCTTTCTCTCTCCTTTGTTGGGATAATACTTACAGATTCCTCAAGAAATTGTGGTGAGGCACTTCCCCGACCCTGAGCACAGTGGCTATGCCCCCTGAGACCACACAGCACACATGCTCCTGTGAAGGGTTTCTCAGGCCTACTTTTGAGAGTGCCTCCCCACAAGACAGTGAGACAGGTGGAGGGGGCAAGAGGGACCTCTTGGATCTGCTTCTCCCCAGGGCCAGCACACAGGAGGTGTCAGGGTCTGACTGCCTTTCCCTTTGGTGGAGGAAATGGACAAATGAAATGCTGCTGGCCATAGAAAGAGACAGGGAGGGCTCTGACACTTAAGGGGTGGGCAGAAGCTGTGCCACAGCCTCTTCCAAGGGTCACACAGCACTTTCCTCATGACCCAGTGGGGGGCCCTACAGGGAGGAGCTTGACCATTTGTGGGGGCAACCAATCCCAGTGGTCCCTTAGACATACCCTCTAGGACCTCCCATAGCCCCCACTCTATTGGTATATTGGTCTCCTCAGATCTCAGGCTTCCCTGGAGGTCCAGTCCTGGCCCTCATACTCTGCTTCTGGGTCAGGGTGTGAGTGTGAATCCCCAGCTTTCCCAGAGACAACTGAGAAAGAAACCAGGCAGATGAGTTGGAAGGGGTGGCGGGCCTGTGCACAAGGCTGGAGCCACTGGTTCTGAGGTCACTGTGTGGACCAGCAAGGTAAGAGTCAGGTTCTTTGCCCATTACAGAGGAGATAAAGGCAGAGCTGCAGAGTTTGAAGTGCTTGGTAGTCACAGCACACACATTTATGGGATGTCAGAGCCGCATGGCCCAACAACAAGCGTGTTAGCCCACCTTCACCCACACCATCCTGGCTGCCAGCCCGGCCTGGCATTCCAGAGTTAAGGACCCTGGTGAGCAAACTGACACTGTGGATGAACACAGGAAGATCAGGACCTCTCCCAGCCCTGGGCGTCTGTATGCACGTGCATGTGAGAGAGACAACTGTCAAGCCTCTGGGAGCACAGAGCCTCTGTGGGCCCTGTGTGTGTGCATCTGTGTCTGGCTGCATTTGCAAGGCTCGGAGTGTCTGGCACACCCTCTATGGGTGGCTTAGGCACATGGAAATGGGCACTGTGAGTGTGGAGTGGCATCTAACATGTGAGTGTCTGGCTAGGAATGCGTGTCCATTAGTGTCTGTCCTATGATGTGTGTCTGTCTGGGCTGGCTTTGCATTCCGGTCTCCCTGCACTGGAGACAGCACACGAGTGACTCCCTGCCAACTGTGCACAAGTAGCCATGACTCTCAGGTCCACGGGACAGTGCGTCGTGTCGAGCAGGAATGCAGCCCTGCAGCGTGGCTGCGTCTTTTAGCAGGGGTGTGTGGCCCCCAGCCAGTACCTATCATCTGGGAACATACTCCCGGGGCAGCCCAGCCCAGTTGTGGTCACGCAGAGCCTGGTCCACTGTTCGGATATAGCCATTGATCAAGTCCTTCATCTCAGGAGTGAAGGGCTCTGGATCATGAGGGTGCCGGCCGCGCCGCCGGAAACTGCCCTCCTTGTTGTTCTCCACGCAGAGCAACCGCTCCTCGCTCACGGACACGTTGAGGAAGGCCACCATCTCCCGCAGAGTGGGCACCAGGCTATGCCGCAGCTCCTCATAGTGCACCACCAGCAGTCGCTTCCCGTACTTGAGCCAGTCTAGGACGTGCGAGGACCACCATGAGGCATAGCTGTTCACAAAGTCTGGCCACTCTGAGGTGGGGAAAAAAGGGCCACAGTCAGTGGCCACCTGCAGGACTGCTGGCCCCACGGGACCTCCTCAGGAGAGGGACTTTGCTAAGGCTTTCTACCTCCACTGCCCATGGCCAGCCTGCCTGGATCCCCATGGGTGCCAAGCTCTGAGGGGTCCTAGGTCTGCCTAGACGGTGACCTTATGTCCTCCTATTCTTTCACTTTCCCTCCCTTCCTCTCCTCTCCCCAGTTCTCCTAGAACTATACCAAGCAAAGACAAATGTCGCCTTCTGTGTGCCAAGAATGGGTTACCTCTCCTGTGTGCTAGGAGATTCTTACCCTCTGGAACTGTTCCTGGTTAGGGAAGGTTGGGGCCATCATGACACAGCAGGATAAGAACCACTGGACACCCAAACATGGCATCTCTGTCCAGATGAACCACCAGCATCTTGACTTCCATCCCTAGCCACTGTGCATGTCCAGTGTTAAGGAGTAGGCAACAGCCAGGGCTTTCCTCTACCCACTGCCTGGGGCGGATCTCCTTGGATCCCCGCAGGGCAAGAGCCTTCCTTTGGTGGTTGATAGTGTGTGCACAGGTGTAGGGCTGGGTCCTGGTGAGACAAAACCGCTGCATCCCTTGGCTTCCTGTGCTGAGCCCTTTCATAAAGCTAAGCAAACGTGGTGCTTGATGGAGGTAGGTGTACAGTGCCTTGGGAGTTTGATTGCCAATTTGAATCTGTGACTTTTTTGGGAGGTGGTCATAAATGAAGGGATAGATGGGAGCAGCCTTAGCTTCTGCATATGATTTACTCCACAGATGCCTTTTCCAGAATATTAAGAAATTAATTTTTTTTTTGAGGAGGAGATATATCTCCAGCCAGGCATGGTGGCGCACACCTATAATTCCGACAGTCAGGAAGCAGAGGCAGGAGGTTCATGAGTTGAAGGCAAGCCTGAGCTACATAGCAAACTTTGTCTTAAAAAAGTTTTCATAATTGAACTACTGATACACATCAAATGCCACAGCTGACTTCCTCTCACCTTCGCAGTGACTATGAGATGGGACCATCCTGGTTACTAAGAGGAGAAAACTAGACCCTGCTTGCCAGGGCCACAGAGCTTATAAAAAGCAGAGGAGGCTCTTCCTCGGCCATCGGGCTTACATTCACATAAAACATGGCAATGTGTGGGCTGAGCAGGCCTGGAGGAGATGGGGAGGAAGTGAGCTCAAGCCAGGAATAGTAGCTGCAGTCTCAGGACTGTGTGTACTGATCCTGCTGCACCTTTGAGTCCCTGCCTGGCTAACCCCTGTTTACCTTTGCTCTTCCAGTTGTGGTCAGGTGCGTAGCCCAGGTGCCCGGCGCACTTCCTGTTGAATTCCGCCACCAGGGACCTAAAAGGGTTCCGGATCAGCAGGATGGCCGAGTCAAACATCTCGATCTCCCTTCGGCCACTCTCATGGGTCTTTACGCAGATGGTGCGCCGGCTCCGCCAGTGGTCCTTCTCACCCTTGAACCCTGTCCAGGAGGAAAAAGGGGCTCCTGTGGAGGAAGGCACTCCTTGCTCCTACACTCCTACATGGGCACTCTCACTTCCACAGTGGCAGAAGGTCTGATGCTGTCCTGTACTTTGAGGGAAAGCCAATATCAAGCTTGAGAGGTCCCATGGAGGGAAGGCAAGGTACACTGGGAGCATCTATGGATGAGGCTCCCATCCACAAGAGCAAGCCCTGTTCCACAGCAAGTAAGAGCAGGAGGTATTCAAGAATGGGGAAAGAGGGCATCTGCAAGAGATCAGGCAAGTTGTCTCCTAAGCACCCCAGAGGTCAGGAGGCAGAGGGCCATCCACACATTTGGGTCTTTTCATGGAGATAATTTTACATGGGCATGGCAGATAGTCTTGTCAGTTAACTATACCTGCAGCCCAGCTGGATCAAAAGACTGAAACTCATATGGGCATGTGACTTGCCCAGTATCACACAGCACGATGGAAAGTGCCAGAGATCTACACATATGCCTCTGTGTGTTCCTTTGAGGCCCCCAGCTTCCACTCACCTCCCACAGCAGGGATAAAACCCCACCATCAGGCTCAGCTGTAAGCAGCTGTAGCCCCACCCTCTGACCTTGCACCATGTCCTGTCACAGGCTCCACAGCAGGCCTGGTCAAGGCTCCTCCACAGCCTCTGAGCCCAAGCCTGAGGACCCAAGACCCAGTGTCTATGAATGGAGACGTGCTCCCACTACTGCTGAGAAGCTTGATGACCAGTGGCTGAGATGGCCCTATTCCACCTAGCCAACAACAGGTTGTGGGCTCACTATGTTGGACTAAAGTCAGCAATGAAAGATAAGAGTCAGACTCTGACTTTAAGTTACCATCTAGGGGTGGAGTAGCCAAGTGCAGAGCATAGGGTCTTATGGGAACAAAGAGTAGGGGAGACTAGACAGTGGGGTTTCATAGAAGGCTTCCTGGAGAGATCTCACTGAACTGAGACTCCAGGCCACATCTTAAGACAGCTCACACTATCCAGCTCTGAAACAAGCTCCACAAATGTTCCTGAGCTTGTCTTGGGCAGGTCCTTTTACTGTGAATAGCTGGGGAGCATCTGTGTCCACAGTGAGCAGCCAGAGCCTCTCTGATGTCTCCTGAATCTGGAAGTCTCAGTTTATTCAGTGAAACTCATCACCACCATGTGCCAAACCCCGAAGCCTTTGCTGTGATTCATTTGTCAAACAGCCAGGAAACACCAGGAAAGGAAGAATCCAGCCAAGGGTTGAGTATGCTCGAGATCCAGTCTTCGACAGCCCTGAGACCCACGGTGTGTTTCTCATGCTGCCTCAGCTGCTCTGCCTCGCAGCCCAGACCACACTCACCTACCACACCAGGCTGGTATTTAGCACTGGCATTGCCTTGTGAATTTCCAGTGCATGTGAGTCATCACTGTGTCAGCTCCCGGGTCAGTGGCTACATCTAACTATACTGGAAGGCTCAGGCTGCAAGGCCAGCATCTCTGAGGCATCCCAACCCTAACAGCTGGCTACTCCAGTCTTTGGGCCCCTCAGAGACTAAAGCACCCAGCTGCTTGAATAAGGCTAAGGTCTTCTGGATGGATGAGTGGGTAATGACAGCCTGGGCACAGAGGATCAGCCGGATCCCCACATGGGAGGGGCCATGTGCTTATCTGGCCACTGTCTGCCCATATGCAGGTGCTCCCAACCCTCAAGACTCCCAAGGAATATGGGTCTGCATTACATGGACTACCATGGCTTTTCCTCGACCAGACCAAGATTGTCACATGTGATTTCAGAACCTGGAGTCAAGCTCAGAAAGTCTTTCTCTAGATTGTCTGATAGTAGCATCTTTTCCTAAACCAAATTCTGGGTAAAGAATCCAGAGAGAATTCTGTGACACTTGACAACAGAGAAATACATTTTGCCAAATTTAGATGTCACTTGACTCATCTGAGGTTCTTCATTCTTAAACAGTGCACAGACTCAAGACATTTAAGTTAATTTACTTGGCATAATGAGTCCGTTTATTTCTATAAGGAAACATTAGAAATCATAAAACTCTTGAAGATTTTTGGACCTATTTAAAGAAAATTGCATTTTGATGAGTTACCCCTTGCATTAAAAAAAAGAAGAAGAATGAGCAGACAGTCAGATCCACCCCCAATGACTAAGGGTTCTAAAAATTAAGGAAAATTGAATCTGGAACAGGATCTTCCTGCTCAAGAAGTGCTCCTAAAAGTGCAGCCGCCCCACCCCAACCTGCCCCATAAGCTTGTTAGAAATGCACATTGCCAGGCTGAGACAAACTGAGCAGTCCCTGGAGTTGGGTGGCTCAGGAATATCTGTTCTAGAGAGCCTTCAGGTGATTCTCACAGTCACGCAAGTTTGAGTCAATCTCCTTGTCACGCAAGTTTGAGTCAATCTCCTCTGGGAGCTGCCACTGAATCCCACAACCTTGACTTACCTTTATTGTACAGGGTTCCATCAAAGTAGTAGCTCCCTGTATAGAAGCCAGTGGCGTGCTCGATCAGGTGTCTTGCCCATGTGTTCCCGGCTCCTGGGAAGCTTGACAAAGCCACAAACACCTTGGATTTGTTGGGCAGGAACCTCCTGTCTGTGCACCGGGTGTCTGAAAGTCCAGAAGCACTACAAGGTTACCATCTCCATCATGACCATCTACTGCTGGACTCCCCTTCCTCCCCATCACACATGAGCACTGATGATCCACAGTCCCATTAACAGGTGGGGAAACTGAGGGCCAAAGAAGGGACTTGACACCTGGTACCTTGGCTGCCCAGGTTTGTGGCTGGCTAAAGAAAGCCTGGTAACAAGGTCTCACATCCCCAAGTGCAGGAGTTGGGTAAAATCAGGGGCTCTGTGGACCTTGCTCTCTCTCTGTCTCCTGGCCACAGCCAGTCTCCATGGCTCCCAGTATAGCACAATGAAATTCTGCATGGGGAGGTGGACAGGGCTATGGTAGGGCTGAGCAGTGCCACATGGCAGGGTGAGCCAGGGCTGTAATCAGAGGCCAGGAAATCTAGGTCTCATCTCCCCAGGGGCTGCTGCAAGAAGGCCAGATCACAGAGGACAGCGCTAGTGGAGCACTCCTTCCTACCTGCCTGTCCTCACAGCAATCCCCAAGTCAGCTGGGGATGCTCACACAAAATGTCACACAAAGGGGACACTAGGTCACAGAGGCCCTGAGGCTCCCTTCCTTGTCATGGCCCTCCCTCTGCTCTTCTTCTTACTTCACCATCCTCAGAGAGACTCAGATTCTTCACAGCAAACCTGGCCTCACCCTTCTGTTCTCTCTACCACCCACTGGGATGCCTACCCACCAGGGACTTCACACAAATGCCTTCTCCGCTCAGGGTTGTGCAGCCCTGGAAGCTGTTGTGACTGATGAACCGATGCCACAGTGGGCGACACAGAGCTCACCTTGCACGGGTGTCTGGTAGACCTCGCAGTAGTCCATCAGCCTCTGTGCCTTGGGGACCTGGCTGCACAGCGAGCTGTCCACAGCATCCCGCAGGTTGAACTGGGGGGTAGGGTAGGCACAGTAGCACTCCCAATCCCGGAGGACTGCCAAGGGGAACTCCTACGGGGAAGGAGAAGGGGAGGCACGATGAAGCCTGAAACTGAGTAAGAAAGGTCTACACCCTAGCCAGCAGAGCAGGGTGGGGATCCACATGAGTAAGAAAGGTCTACACCCTAGCCAGCAGAGCAGGGTGGGGATCCACACAAGAGAGCCTCTGTGTGGGATGGAGAGGGCTCAGTGAGTTGACACAGGGCTGCTCAGGACTCCCTGTGTCATACTGTTAGCATCAAACCTTGAGCTCTGCAGCGACTCAGAGCCCAAGGAAGGAGGACTCCAGTCCTCCTTCACCAGCCTCCTCCCTGGAAAGAGAGTAAAGCTGACGATTGACCCTGAAGTGCCACTTAAGGCGGGCATGGATTCCCATGTCACTTTTCCAAAGACAGAAGGGGAGGGGAAGTGCAGACCCTGCTCCCATCCTGGGTGCTTGGAATGATAGGGGCTTCCTACAAGAAGAGGGGCCCCACCAGGCTGGGATAGGGGTGGTGCCTCACCCTGCTGGCCTAGCCAGCTCCCAGAAGTCTTTTAAATGGGTTCTGGTTCCCCTTTGGGAAGGCTGCACCATACAGTACAGAGCTGGGCACTGGCATCCTGAAGATGTGAATGTGAATTCTGACTCAATTGTGGGGCAACCTTGCCAAGGTGCTTAATCTCTCTGAATCTACCCATTGATGAAAGGTAATAAAATCCACCTTGTAGGTTTCTGGTAAGGGCTAGATGAGATGCACTCAAAGTGCCCCGTACGAGGCGGGACACACTGTAAGTGCTTCACAGAGCACTTGGCCATCCTCAGCCTCCTTACCCTTCGGGCATCAGCCACAGATCACTCAGAAGTGATCTGGCCACCTCCCCTGTATTTTTGACCACCAACTATGCACCAGGCAATAGGCACACTAAGTCTCATTTCATCTTGACCTCTCCCAGGGTCCTGCAAGACAGAGAAGCAAGAGCTCCTGGAGCGTGAGGATGAGGGAGGAGACTAAGCATGAGAGGAGGGGGCAGAGGGTGGAGGACAGTGCTCATTGAGAAGGGAACCACTACACAAACCTTTTTATTTTTTGCCCACAGCAAAATATCTCATAAATAAATAAAGGAAATCAATAGTGTTTCCTGTGCATAGCCTGGTAAAGCTGAGGCTCTCAGCACTCACGTAAGACAAGACAGTGTTACAGCAGAGCGAGGGCGATGCAGAGCCTGAGGGATGTGGCGGAGGTGGGTGGCTCAGGAGGGTCATTGTCACCAAGGCTGGCTATTCTTGCAAGCATGGCCTATCATCTCTGCCTGCCTAGTGGCCCCCGGATGAGTGTGCCCAAACTCCCTCGTCCTTCAAATTGATGAGGTGGCCATGGCAGGCACCTGGGTGGGAGTTCAAGAGACTGACAAGCCCTCTGTATTTCCAACCAGATTCCATGCCCACACCATTCTCAGAAAGTGAGATCTGTGGCCTGACCTCAATCAGCACATGCTGGCTTTTCTGGAAGCAAGTTTTCCTGCCAATGTGAGTTGGTGAAAGCTACTCTGGGGACTCTATCCTCTGACCTTTTCAGTTCGTCCATCCCCTCTCAGGAAACCTTTGCCCCACATCAATGTCTTCACACTGAGCAGCAGGAACAGCAGCCTGGCCCCCCCCACCCACCCCCAAATTCCAGAGTGCCCCAAATTCATGTTGAAGTCCTAACCCCAGGGTCTCAGAATGTGACATTTAGAAACAGGACCTTTACAGTGGTAATGAATGGGCCTAATCCAACATGGTAAGTCCTCTAAGGATGGGGGTTAGGACGGACAGCACACAGACCTAGAGACAACCACGTGAGGACACCGGGAGAAGATAAGAATCTGTAGGCCTAGGAGAGAGGCCCAGGAGAAACCAACCCTACTGGCACAGAAATCTTGGACTTCAGCCTCCAGAACTGACGGAGAGTACACATTTGCTCTGTAAGCTGCCCAATCTGTGGTACTCTGCTGGAGCATCTTAAGCAGCCATGACAGTGGCTCTCCTGCAGTCCTGTGACTATGCTAGTCAGGCTCCTACCTCAGGGCCTTTGCACCTGCTGCTCCATTGGCTCTCTTTCCCACTTATTTTCTTCAAGTCACTTTCTCAGTGAGGCTTTTCCTGGTCACCCTTTTCCAAGTTGCAATGCCCTTCCACTGTCATGGACACATCTTGTTCCTTTGCTGTGCTCTCTAATTCTGTTTAACAAATCCCTGGCCAAGATGCTGTAATCCCAAATGTACAGCTCAGCTGGTGTTGAATGTGGAGACAGGCAATACATCCAGCCCAGCAGAGGCTCCTTCCACTCTGTCAGCATCCCTCCCTCACCCAAAGCATCCATTATTCTGACCTCTATTGCCACAGATGAGTTGTCTCTATTCTAGAACGTCATATCAATAGAATCATCTGGTATTTTTGTGCACCTGGCTTCTTTCAAAATAGGTGTTAAATCCGTCCACGTTGCTTTATCTGTCAGTAGACTATTCCTTTTCATTGCCATGTAGAATTTCACAAGAGATGTACCATGTGTTGAATCATTCTTGTCGAATGAATCTGGGCTGTTTCCAATGTTCAGTCAATATGAATAAAGATGCTTTAAATATTCTTGCATAAAACTCTTGGTGTATGAATGCTTTTATTTTTCATGGGCAAACACCTACAATTTCTCCTCATTTTTTGCCACTGCCCTTAGCATTATATGACACTCTCTGTATCTTATTTATTTGGTTTGTTGTCTGCTTCTCTGCACAAGAACGTAAGCAGGGAGAGGATTAGTGTGTTCTGTGTGCTATGCTGCACCCTCAGCTCCTAGAACAGTGTCTGCTCAACAACTGTGTGACAGATGAACAAATGAAGAATTGAATGAAGGAGCGTTCTTTCTGGATTCCACCTTCAATTGCTGCTGGCAGCACTGTGGCACATCGTTCTGCTGGTCATGGTCAAGGGGACCCAGGGGGTGTGGGGCAACATCTAAGCAAGCAAGCCCTCCCCAGCATGGGGAGCCTGGGCAAGGGCTCTGCCGTCCTGGAGACATCGTGTTCAGAGGACGACAATGTCCCCAGCACAGGCAGCCAGCTCGGAGCTCACAGGCTCTGTCTCCCTCCCCAGCAGTAATGGCACTGCTGCCTCTCACAATCTTATATCCCAGGGCTGCAGGACAGGCTGTCCCCACCAGTGACCCGAACCTTTTTGCTTCCTTGAGTGGATTAAACTGTCAAGTTTCCGGGTGTTTGCAGAGCGACGGGAGAGCTGCAGACAGTAATGTGGTTTTATTTACAACATAACCGCTTCAGCAACATCACTGGATTCTGAAAACACAGAACAATTTTCAGCCCCTTGGGGATTTCTAGGACACGATTTCCATAAAAATTAAATATTGATGAATCTTATCTCTCTGCCAACTTCCCTGCTCCCCCACCCCCAACTCCAGGCTTCAGAGAGAGAAAAAGAAAGAGCAGAAAGAAAGAGGAGGGGGAAAGCCCAGGAAAAAGGGAGGCAGACAGAAGGTAAGTGCAGACATGGGAATGTTTGAATCACAGGGAGACGGCCAGGTAAAGGCATGTCCCATCTGATCTTACACCTAGGCTTGGGCTCAGGTGTCTGGGATGGGGACCCAGGTGTACTGGGGCTGAGCCAGACATGGGTGTGAGCATTCAGCAGGGACTGGGTCCTGTAACAGTAAGGGTAGGGTTCTGGGCTGCAGGGATCCACAGGCCAAGGCTCAGCCTGTGGTCAAGGTGGAGTGAGGACCCAAAATGGCCCATCTGGGCTCCTCTCCTTCATCTCATCCTTCCTTAACCACCATTCTCAGGAGCTCCAGGATCACAAAGAATTTCAGAGATCACAGAAAGGGAAACTGAGGCTCAGTGGCAGGCAGCCAATAGCTCCAGCTACCTGTCTGCCAGGTGAGTGGGCACAGAGGCTAGGCTTTTGGACCCCAAGCCAGGCTTTGCATCACCACCACAGTTTGACTCCTAGGAGACAGGGAGGCAGGTAACCCCCCAATTGAGGTCTGCACACACTCTGCCTCCAGGGCACATGTTTCACTCCAGTCCACATCTGGACATCTGAGACACAACAGGGAATATGGCCCACAGAGGCGGCCATGAGGACAGACTTCTGCTCTCAGGGCAATGTCAGCTTGAAGGACCAGTGACTCCATAACTGAAAATGAGGGCTATGGGGCTTGGAGAGGCAGCCTCTGGGAGATGGAAACAGCCAAACCTTGATACCAGGACCCCATTTGTGGATAAGCCCCTGGGCACCTCCAGGCTTGGTTTTATCATGTTTTTTTTTTTTCACTGTGGGATCTGAGCACTGAAATGCTTGCTATGTGCCTTGCAGGGAGTACTCAGCAGCATGGCTGGTCTAAGCCAGGGGAGAACCAAAACTCAAGTCAGAGGCTTCAACCTCCTGGGGCTCTTCCCCAAAAGGCCTGACTTTCCAGTCCCTTTTGGCATGCCCAGCCTTACGATGCCGTTGGCTCTGGCACACACTCTAAACACATGCTGGACTACCTGTCCTATAGACATGAGGAAAGGCTTGGGGCAAAGATCAGAGTCTCTAGGCCCCTGTGGGTGGGCCTCTTGGGTGGGACTTTCACAGACCGGAGCCCACAGGCAAAAGATCTGCCTGACCCACTCCAAGACACAGTTTCCCATCAAAGCCAGACACCACTAGACCCAAGAGCGTTGAGAAGCTACATGACTCAGAACCACCATAGCATCAGGAGCTCAGGTCACCTGGATTTCCATCTTCTTGGAAATTTTCCATTCTGAGAAAGGACTGGTCCCACATCTTAGGCAGTTTCTCTAGGGGAAGCTGAATGATAGAGATCAGAGTAATCACCATCTGGAATTCTCAAGAGACACTCGGAAATATAGTTCACAGAATCACTGAATGCTCAGCACATAGGTTAAGGTATTTCTTCTGCACTGATCCCATCCAGCAGATGAGAAAACTGAGTCTTGGGGTTATGGAAATCTGGTCAGGATCACAAAAAGAAAAAGTA